GCCGCCATTTTGGCAGACAAAATGGCGACCGCAACTCATTTGCGCATGTGCCAAGTATATGCCTCCAAGTTGACTGTTGACTTAGGTGACCCCATGAATTTCACAGGGTATTCTTAGGCAAGGACTACTCAGAGACGGAGAAGGTACAGACAATAAAAGCAACTTTAAAACAATCATAAAAATACTTCCTCTCCAAGTCTCTCCATTCTTATCTATCCACACATCTATTTGGAGATCCACTGATTATGTTTGCTTAGGGGCCATTTTGATATCTTATACCTTGGCATTTTTTTTTTAAAAAATCCAATAGCTTTTGCAACTGGTTTTTGTTTTTCCATTCCATTCATTAGTTAGTAGTTGGGAAAACAGTGGAAAATTCCTATAATTCTGCTTTCACTTTAGGTAGTTAACTAGCAAGGCTGTCGTAATAGTCATTTAAAAACAACATCTATTAGAAACACTGGATGTAAGTACAAAAGTTCAACTGCCCTGACATTAAAATCATGATACTAAAAGCTGGGACAGGGTACCCTGAAAGGTCATGGGTTCTCCTTCATTGGAAGTCTTAAAATAAATTTAGATGGTGATTTATTATTTTATTTATTTCTTTCATTTATATGCCGCCTTTCTTGCAAAATGGACCCAAGGTGGCTCAAAAAAGATGCTTTTAGTATACTGTTTTTAATTGTATTGCCTTGTTTTAACCCATTTTTGGTTTAATCCTGTTTTAAGGGGTGGGTGGGTAGATTATGGATGGAGGGAATATTGTTTTAACTGTCTTGTTTTAATTGCTGTGACCCACCTCGATTGCCACGCAGAGAGGCGGGCTATAAATAAATAAATAAATAAATTATTATTATTATTATTATTATTATTATTATTATTATTATAAAAACAACAACAACAATAAAACGGTACAACTGTCAAACACAATTAAAACACCACTTTAATATAACAAAATCCACAAAACAGTGATACCTTTCTTGGGCCAACCAAAATGCACATTATACATGTTGCAAGCTTTCGTAGCTCCACTGGCTTCTTCTTCAGGCAAAGGTGTTAAAATGAATATTTTAAATGCATATGTTAAATATATAATTAACATTTGATGCATAAATTAAAAGCATTAGGAATAATGTATGTGTGTGTGTGTTTGTGTAATAGTACGTAACACACACACACACACACACAC